TTCATTGGCCAACTGCAGGTGTAGAAATGTAGTAAATTTATTAAAATACTACAATGAAGTTTGATGGATAAAACCACGTGTTTCCTAAGTCGTTAATAAAAGTCCATTAGTATCTTGCTGGTTATTCTCTACTTAACGTAAGCTACTGAAAAGAAAAGCTACATTTCTTTTGCTGTACTTTGTGTCATTGTGCCTTTTCGGCTCTGGATATAGCATACTATTTGTTTTTTGTTTGGGTTTTCATAGCGCAAAATTACATAATTGGCCAAATGCAATCTGTCCATCGCGGCTATTTTCCTTTCGTTACAAAATTGTTTGAAGTGTTATTAATCATGCAGTTCTCTGTGAGACAACGGTAAGGTTAGAGACTTACAACACAAACATTTGGGGTTCGATTCCCCGTGGTGGACACGGCAGATAGCCCTGTTGGAATGTGACGAAGTGATTCTGTTGTTGATGTGTCGTAATACCGACGGTACAAATTTCAAACAACCGTAAGAAGAGGACTTGGAAATATCAGAGTGGCGCCGGCTTTTGCATCATCCCTTTCGTTACATCCAGTCTTGGCACATTTGTTTTTGTAATTTAAAAAAAAATGGATGGTCCCTACTTTATTTTGCAGACCAAGTTTTTTTGTCGAAAGAGAAATAAGAAAATCAGCAAATGAAACAGAAGCCCACGTCAAACTGTATACCAAACACTATGTCAAACGTATATATATAATTTATGTATGAGCGCCAGAATCTGTGGTTCATTTACCCAACCAATAATTTAACCGGTAATTTTTTTTTCTAAAGCTTCTTTTCAATTTTTTTTTACTGATGATGTAAAGATTCATCAATATTATTTGTCAGTCAGGTATTGCCACTGCTAGATTAGTTTTAAGCCAAGAGATGGCGCTGCAACTGGTCATTGCTAATTTGTGTGCTGTGGGCGCTCACTGGAGACCAACTATTATATACACCACTACAGACTGTATTAACTGAATCACGCATATATATATATAATTACATAACAAAAATTATTCCCTTACCTTGTTGCATTTTCATTGGTCGGAATCAATCTGCTGTAAGATGGTTGTAATTTTTTAGAATGACACAGTTTATTATTTCGGCATGTCTAGTGTCATTTGCATCTCACGTGATGATGAGAAATAAATATTTTCCAATAGATTTAATAGCCTAAAATTTTTTTCTTGCGTATCTCCATATTTTTAGAATCCTCTTCAACAACCAAAATCAATTTAATCCATGAAAATGTTCTCTCTCTCTCTCTTTAGTTTTTTTTTATAAATGTTTGATTACAACTACCGTAAAGGCATTTTTAGAAATATAGTTAATACATGGTACTATTCAAGTTATAATTTATTACAAAAGTATATGTTGTGTATTTTTTTTCTTTGCATTGCAAACGTTCTATGGTTTTGAAAAACGTTTTGTTAGATTCTTTCTGATATTCTACAAAGGTCTATCTGCGCTAGTCGTCCCTAATTTTGACTTTACAGGTTAGAGGTAAAGGCAGCTAGTTAGTCAACAGTACCAGCTGCCAACTCGTGAGCTACTCTAATAAAAAAAGTGGGATAAGACTGTCACTCTTATAACGTACTCACAGCCATAAAGTATGAAGCGCAAATTTCATGTTTGCTATAACAGGACACGAATCACGGACCCACAATATGGCACGCTCGGCCCAAAAGAATAGAGATTTTTATAAAGCCGTGTTATACTATTATTCAAATGAATATGTTGCTTATTCCAAAACTGTGGCTACAGCTTTTTGAAAACTCACAATTTTTCACAATGTAATTGTCTAAGTCAGGTTGGTCGTTATCAATTCACTTATCTATATATCTTTGTATACTAAAAAACATCAGCAAGTTCCACAAAACATATAAAAACAATTTGGTTCGCTCTGTTTAGGCCATTTCTTAACAGTGTTTGTCCAAGAAATATCCGTGTTAAGCCTAGTTTTTATATATATATAATAAAGTTTAGTCTCTTCTCAAAAGATGCTGTAGATCACTTTGTTCAGTTCATTCCCCATCTGCATTGCTAAAAATACTTCGCTTGTTAATAGCGATTTAAATCCCTATGGTCAAACCCAACCCATACCATGGTTTGAAAATGGGCGGTCAAGTGGTCGAAAGGTCAAGCTAGTTTTGACAAAATTCGAAGTAACTGGCTCGGTAGAGCTTGTGTGAGCTATAGTTGCTGGGAATCCCTGGGTGGAGGCTACAGTCTGTGTTCGGCTCTTTACCACAGATGGATTTATACCAGGACATACAATCGAATTGTTTCTCGACGATAGGTGGCTGGAAACCTCGCAATACGCCTTTCTTTTACTTCTCGAACTTTTCCCAAATATTTTCACTGACAAAACCTAGTATAAAAATAGTTAGAACTGTATTATTACAAGTTGTATCGAATGCTTTGTGGGAGATTCATGTAATGAACAATAAATCGTCCTACAGGTGATTGACACAAAATAAATAAAGACGGCCGTTCTTCATTTGAAGATTATCGAAATGAAAGAAATAAAAGCTAAGATAAGCGGACTGCTCAAAGACCCGTATGGTTCACGTACAACTGTCCCTAATTTTGAGTTACTCACTAGAAAGAGAGTAGTCAGGTAGCAGCACCCGCCGCTTCAGAGGATTTATTCAGCTCTTTGAAATGAATAATGGGATTTCCTGCCACTTAAATAACACACCACAGTGTGGAGGATGTTCAGCAGCATTACGTTTCGAACCATGAATCCTTTGATTTATTGCTCGATACATTAACTTCTAGGTCACAACCAGCTCACCTTGTTAAGACTTTCAGAGAAACGAAGTTAAGAAGGAATATTACTCTCGATGGTCTTATGATAAGCTAATTATGCCAATGATGAATTGTATATATATATATATACTAGCAAAACATTGCGGTCTAATTAGTATTTTTATTGTAAGATTACTTCTTTAAGGTAGCACTTACTCTTAAAACTAGGCTAATTTACATGCTAAGGAAACACTGTTAAACAATTCTTATAACCTTCAAGTTGAGCACAAAACAAAAGTACGATCTCTGAAAGCATCATTAATTGTTTGTTTTTTGAATTTGAATTTCGCGCAAAGCTACACGAGGGCTATCTGCGCTAGCCGTCCCTAATTTAGCAGTGTAAGACTAGAGGGAAGGCAGCTAGTCATCACCACCCACCGCCAACTCTTGGGCTACTCTTTTACCAACGAATAGTGGGATTGACCGTCACTTTATAACGCCCCCACGGCTGAAAGGGCGAGCATGTTGGGTGTGACGGGGATTCGAACCCGCGCCCCACAGATTGCGAGTCGAGCGCCCTAACCACCTGGTCATGCCGGGCCCCCGAAATCTATAAGTCCACTTGTCTTAGGCCTAACAGTAGTTAAGCCTGTATTAAGTACGGCATATATTCGATAAAGAAATAAATTAACACTGTAACTTGTATACGTTTTTTTGCTTTAGTTTAGTTAGGGCTAAACTTTACCGCAATACTATCAATAAATAAACTCATATTGTTATTCTACGACCTAACGTTAATCTTATGATTAACTAACTCTGTTAGTTAGGGCTAAACTTTACCGCAATATTATCAATAAATAAACTTATATTCTTATTCTGCGACCTAACGTTAGGCCTTTTAATAAACTTTTAATAAGTTGTTGTAAAAAATATCCTCTAAATTATGTTTACATCCACCATTTATTTGTATCCATTAGACTGAAGTGCGTGCGCATGCGCATTTAGATACTAAGGTGCACATGCGCATTTTCAGGACAGACAATACTGAGTACTATTATAATAAATATACCGGAATTAGGGTTATTGTCTTAAGATATTACAATAATAAAGTTTATAAAATGACCGATTTATTATTGCTAAGTCTTTTGTCTTTAAATATAAATTCATCAAGTGACTAAGCTATTGTTACTCGAAATAAAACATAGAAATAAAGTAATAAAAAAAAGTAAAGAGAAACAATACTGTTTAATACGTCATTTAAATACCAAATGTCCAGTTTAAAATGTTAATTTGGCTGAGAAGTCTCACTGAGTCGAAGTTACAGAAGTATATTTTTTTTAGATTGTCTGTTTAGTTTTGAAAAGATAAGTATCGTACCATAAACAAGACAGCTCCAATTAGGCATAACAGCACTCCCCACCAATGGTTCATGAACCACTGTTTCAAATGAGCTATACTCTCAGTTGATAAAAGAAGTCTGTGTAGCGTGGCTAATGGTCCGGACGGGTCCACCTGGTGGTGAAAAATACATACGTATTTAAAAATCCGATCACATATCGCATTAACACAGTGAGGAAAAACATGTTGAATTACACTGACTGACCATTGTATTAATGTCTCATAAATATATATTGGTAAGACTCCATTAATTGGATATGCAAAATAAAACGAACACGTGATATGTCAAATGACTGCTTGTATAAGTACGGGGATGTAACCATGTTATGATATGGTTGGATAAGTCACGTTTACTTTTATTCTGTGCTGACTGTGGGACAAGAATATGGAGACAACCATATTAAAATTGGTTGTGTTGTTTGACATTGGAAACTACTGGAGGTTGTGTAATGGCATGAGGGCCTTTTTTTTTTTTTTTGGCAGAATCGGACCATTTAGTTTATTTAAACCTACTATATCTACTCTTCTTTACGTACCAATGAAACAACTCTGTCTAGCTCTTTGACCAATAAAACAACTCTGTCTAGTTCTTTGACCAATAAAACAACTCTGTCTAATAATTCTTGAAGACGGCTTGAATGGGTAATAATGAAAACCTTTAATATAAGTTTAACAGCAAATGTACAACGTTTCGACAAGGTTTTGTCAACTCTATCTAGCCCTTTGACCAATGAAACAACTCTGTCTAGCTATTGTACCAATGAAACAACTCTGTCTAGCTCTTTGACCAATGAAACAACTCTGTCTAGCTCTTTGACCAATGAAACAACTCTGTTTAGTTCTTTGACCAATGAAACAACTCTGTCTAGCTCTTTGACCAACGAAACAACTCTGTTTAACTTTCTGAGCCATTCTGAGACAGTAATAGCGCTGTGGATAATTGCATTATGTTTGAAGAACCATTACTCATCAGGACGAAGATACTCCATTGGGGAAGATGGGAGGGAGGTATGAAAGACAGCACGTTTAAGGGTAGTCTGGGTGCCTTTTAAAACTGTACCTGCCAGTTGAAAAAAAAAGGGGGATGGCGTTTCGGGTTCTGTACTGAGGCCTTCTTCTGAAGATAGAGTTACTTCAGAAGTCTGGATTGATCTGTACAATCACACATATCCAATTAAACGACGAATGTAGTGTAATAAAGCAGCATTATGGAATGAATACCATGCATAGTATAAATTATACAGTACAGACTATTACGATTGAAGGTGAACCAACCCTTGATTAGTCTGTATTGAATGAAAGTGAAAAATTATGAAGTACTATTTGAAAAACTATTAACAACTGAAACGGTTATAAAACTTTGAAAGCTAATATGCACACGAAAATAAAACGAAATTATGTAGTAAAAAATAAAACAACCACTGATTTAAGTGTAAAAATATTAATATTATATATATTAACAAAAATGTTCTTGTTTTTTTAACATTGAAATGTTAAATTAAAATTTATTGGAACTTTCAAGTTGAACGATACCTTATGCGTACATTAGATTTATTGGCCGTATAGAGACCCCCTATGGTTCAGGTATAGCTGTCCCTAATTTTGAGCTATTGATCAGAGGAAAAGAAGTCAGACAACAGCTTTTGGTTTTTTTGTTGAATTTTGCTCAAAGCCACCCGAGGGTTATCTGCGCTAGCTGTCCCTAATTTAGAAGTGACAGACTAAAGAGAAGGGGAATAGCCAACCCCACCTATCGCCAACCTATTCTGGGCTATTCTTTACTAACGAAAAATAGGATTGATCACCAAATTATAACGTCACCATGGATGGAAGAGCCGAGCATGTTTAGTGGTGGGATTCAAATCCGCAATCCACACATTGCGAATCGAGCACCCTAACCACCAGGCCATGTCATAAAGATTTTGTGTGGTTCTTTGAGCCAAATAACTGTAATAGCTATCATCTTTATAACACGCCCATAGTTGAAACTGTGAGACGTGTTTTCAACTACAGTAGGCCTCGAACTCTGGACCCTTCAATCCGCAGCCACTATTCGCTAGGCCATGTTTGGCCTAGATAGTCAAAGAACAAACAACAACTTAAGGGCATTCATACCTCTCTGCATCTTTGAAAGACATCACAGTAGCCATTGTAGTTATTACACGGTGTGCCCGGTTTGGCGTAAAGATCTGGAACGTCATAAGGTGGTAAGTTCCATTCAAATGAAGACCTGTGGTAAATCAAATCGTTTTAACAGTTATTCATCATTCCTTGTTAGACAGTATCAAGCGAGATCACGTGTTTTGTAGTTTTCGGATGAGATTGTGGACCGCATCTAAGAACTTAACGTATACACATTTTATTGAGTTTAAGTAAGTTTACGACCTACGATTGTTATTAATTGACATTAAAGTTTTTAAAGCAGAACACTTCGTATTATTTCACAATTCCTTTAAACTCTGGTAGAAAGATTTGTTTATTTTATTGTTAGCTACACATTGGATTAGCTGTGCTCTGCTCACTACGGTTACCGAACCCCGATTTTTTATGTGTTATAAGCCCTCAGACTTACCATTGAGGCATTAAGAGGATCTTATAAAAAGAACCAAGAATTAGAAAGCTCTAAACTCACATCTCATGAATTATGGTTATCCATTCAATAACTGTTACATTTTTTTTTTAGTTTTTTATTCTGATGACACAAATCAACAATAAATTTGCTTAAAGAATGCAAACGAATGTCGTCAAGACTAAACTCAAGTACTAAACGAGGCCTACTTGCAGCTGGAGTCGTCACCAGGGAGCTTACAACACATCTCACAAGCTTTGGTTACAGGATCATGTGGTCCCATGAGGCACTGGCAGGAGTCAAGACCATAGGCCATACAGATCGAACCAGTGCATTCCTGAAAACCAAAATACACTTCATATGACAAGAAATACAAGATAAAACAAACATTTTATATTCTGTGACAGAAAAACTGCTGTTTTTAAAGAGGGGGAAGTGTTAGGCTGTGGCGGATTGATACAGATACAAAAGCACACACACACACACACGAATAAAGCGTATATAAACGCAATATGTGATGAAATATTTGAATAAAGGATGTAATTAAGGAAAGTTAGATTAAATGAAATTTGTTAGCTTGAAAATCCTTATAAACAGAGTAAGAATCCAAGGTATAACAATAATTTTAAAGCAGAATTAATTTCAACATATAAGACGATAAAAAACCGAATTAACTTTGAAGCGATGATGCCTTGTTTTCTTCCAGAAAAAGTGACAACTGAGATATGAATCTAGCGATTACACTTAACGTAATTATTAGAACTTGAGAGTAAATATGATGAAGATTGTAATGATATGTCGTCTCTCGGTGGGTCGGCAGTAAGTTTACGAACTTACAAAGCTAAAATCCGGGTTTCGATTCCCACAAGAGGCAGTCAGTGGTACACAAATATAACTTAGAAACGTCAGGGTAAAGAAACGGTCAGTGGTACACAAATATGAAACGTCAGGGTATTTCGTGATTTTTTCACCACCTCTAAAATCCTCTTATGTATCCTTCTATATTTAACTATTTAAATGTAAAAACCGTGAAATATTTTAAAAACTTGATTTCAACGTCTGTTTAGAAAGAAACTGATTTTTTAATTTGTATAATCATCACTTGGAACCCGTTTTTTTAGCGTTTGCTGACGTGTTAATTGGTCATTCGATGGATTATAAACATACTTTATAATCCATATAAAATACATGCCCCTACCACTATCTGTAATCTATATAAAATA